TGGTTTGGAGTAAAGAAATATAAAAGACCATCTTTGAAATGTAATATTAACTTATTCAATGGATAATAAAAGCACTTTGATAACATTTAAGTTTAAATGAATATGTATTATTTTAGTAATAAAATTATATTTAAATAACGGGCTCTCAATGAAACATTTTTGAAAAACACTGTTAAATTCTGTTTCATCTATATTATATTATCATTTAAATATGGGTATTAATGTTTTAATTTTAATTTCTTTAGTGTTAGTCCTTATTTATCACCTCTGATTATTTTGTCTGCTCGCAGAGTCGTGTAGTTCTTGAAAATATATGATCTACAACTCATTGTACTGACTTTAAAATATTTGTCTTGATATTTGTTTATATTTTCATAAAGCGAGAACCCAACCACTCCTCCTCTTAACACAAAGACTTCCTTTTTTCTGTGCTTTGTATTTTGATTCATTTGTACTTTTTTGTTTCAACTTTATAACATTTCGCTAATTTTCATTTGAAAATAAAGGGAACAAAAGTCCGAAGTACATAAAAATAAATAATAATAATAATACAATTTTTACGCTTTTTCTTTATTATTCGTATATACTTTGGTCTGTAAGTTATACATTTAAAACTTACATCTGAATTAGTTTATAAAAACACGAATCACATATCTCTTATTTATATGGCGTGGCTGCTTCAACAGCAAGTGTCTTACATTCTAGTGCACCTCATATGTAACCTCCTCTCTCTTATCTAAATTATCTTTTTAGAGGTGGTAGAGCCTAGCTGTGGTCAAGTTACTACAGCTCGAACATGGGCTGGCTCGACTGGGGAAGTACCACCCTCTCACAAAAGATGGGCGTGAAGTAGCCTTAGTTGCTGCGTTTCGTTCGATGAGTGAGAGAGCCGGTTGAACTTTCCCTTTTTCCCATCCTTTCATACCCCTTCCCATTTTCCTCCCCTTACCATTTTTCCTTCCCCTCTTCCCAAGTCAAGGGTGGTGACACATCCGCAACATGTCTTATGTCGCGGATATCCATGGGCGACGGTACTACCTCCATCAGGTAGGCCGTCTGCTCGGTTGCCCCCTTTAACATTAAAAAAAATAATAATAAAAAATAAATAAAGACCGACGTCCCTTAGGGTTCATCCTCTCCCTACTACTCTAGTCAAATTTTAATTTTAATCAAATTTTCTCAAACGCGACCGAATAAAAGCACGTCCACCTGCTAATACAACACACAATTATGTAAATGGTACACTGACTTGCGACACTTGTGGTCGCACGCTTAGTGCTAAGATTGGATATTTTAGTCACGTGAGGTCGCATCGCAGGTCTTAAATATTACTTATTTACAAAATATTTAAACAAAGCTAAGTAACTGTAGCTGAAAATGGCTAGGTAGACATTTACTCGTATATATGTACAATGGAAGTTATGGAGTTTTTCATTCATACATCTTTCCTCATGGTGTGTTAAAATAAGATATAGGCACAGAAACAGTCCAGCTCCGTTTTTAGTTAAATACGACGATGACTTCTAATTAAAGTAAAAGGCAACTAAATACATTACAGTGACTTTAATAAGATTACATTAATTTTTTAGATTGAAACTTTAATTTTCACTGAATAGTAAGAATGTATTGTCAGACTTAGGTAGTCCTTTTCTTAACTTGTAACATCTTGTGATATAGAAAATTGAGTATTTTAACAAAGTGTGCAATTAGAAACGGCTTTATGTTTTAATTTGAACTGATTAATATTTTAGCCATAATTTTATTATATAGTAATCCCAATAATATCTTAGGAGATATGTAAGTGAAGTGTTTCATAGTATTGTTTTCAATCCAGGATATGTAATAATATATATATATATATATTATTACATATCCTATACAATATGAATAATCATAATCAGGAACACGAGATTAACAGTAATTGAAATTCATCTCATTGCTTTACAACGCTAGATTAGACACAGAGTGTTATTGATTTGAAACAACGTGAACTGTCGATAATGTATTACTTTCACTTCAATTGATATTACTCGTAGATTTAGAGGTGATGTTAATTATAATATTATATTTCTTATTGATTATCCGTCTCAGACGACCATATAGAAACTAATAATCTATTAAAATGAATAAGCTAATTATAATATTAAAAATACTCAGTCTCTGCGGCCCTAACAAGACCTGAGCCTCATTCAAGTGGACACACAACCTTATCAATATAAAAACTTGAAAGGAATATAAAGTTCTAAGGGCGATGCTGACGTCCCTTATATTCCTTTACCAATCCTTAATAGGTTTATAAAAAATACTTTAAATGCTAACAAGCATAATTTTAGAAGTAATATTTGACAAATATTAACTTGAACAGTCTGGAGATGAATATTTGAAGTAAATTAAAACTCATACAAATATCGGTGACTTTTTTTGCTGTATGTTGAAATAGGAGGGCTGAAGAATCGTTTAAGGTAATTAAAGTAAACATATTCGTATACGTACAATTAGAAAAAAATAACTATTGTTTTGATTAACACGCTTATACTTTATAATATCGTCTATCCCCATTCTATATGCGTGAGTGTTGTTATTTTTAGTTTAAACTTCAGCCATGATACACTAATCATTTGGATAATACATATATCATTCAAAGACTAATAGTAACTCTTTTACAATAGAATCCACCAAACTATGGAAATACCTTCGACGAAGTCTGAAATTCTGACTCTTTGGCTAGTTTTGGGCGAGTTTTATATATGAACTGTTTATATAATCCTATAAAAGTATGTACGTATGGGTCAGTATATACAGATGTGAATGTATATAGAATGTTTATATCGCGGCTCCTGCTACGATTCACAGAGCGATGATGTCAACAACCGTCAACTTTTTTTAATACTACACCAACACATCATCACAATATAAATCTTTTCTTTGTCTAAAACGTATTCTATAACTCATCTATGTACTGTGCAACGGAATTGTCTATTGAAACTGAAATTAAACAAGATTTACAAGATTTTCGGATTTTATTCCTAATAATAAGACTCGCAAGTGTCTCAATTGAAGACATAAATTGGTGACCACGACGTGATTGACGTATAAATACGAAAATCAACAAAATCAAGAAACGAGGTGTGGACGTGCCAGGTTATCAAAAGTTAACGGCGTTGCATCCATTATTTATCGAAGATGGAGACGAATTCATAATTTCTGGTTGTCGTCGAGTCCGGCAGCGAAGCAATATCAGTAAGACTTCGCCACGACTACGGCAGCATTCTACGAAAAGATAAGTGTCCTTCCTAAAAACCACGTTATTAACAATTCTTTACTTCATTGCCTCCACAGTGTAAAATTCATATTTTAAAATTATTTGCAATCAATTATTCCAAAACAGTGAGTGTTAATTCCTAATAATTTATAGAAATAAATGCCTATTTTTGCTCCGACACGTCATAAGTATAAAGTTCAAACGAATTCAAGTTCAAGTTCATAGACCTATTCAAATTCTTATTACAAATAATAAACAAAATTACTTTCTAATTACATATTTTAAAACAATTTCTGTTAACTCATTTTAAAATTTTCACTACATTTGGATATTTTTTAATTACGTAAATTCAAATAAAACGCTAAAAGTTTATCTAAGCTATAACGTTTACGATACTACGAAATATATCCCTTTTGAAACTATAATAAATAAATAATTAATTATACATTTTAATCATAGTGCCACGTGTTCATGTGCGTTCAATACGTAGTCATACTCTCAGTTATTTAAATAGCTGCACTCTTAGAGCACCATACTATTTTACTTTTAGTCATCCTTTCTGCTGAAATTTCCAGGTGCCTGGCAGGACGCTGGTTTTGTGCATCGAGCTATTAGCGACGCAGAACCAGTTTCTTTGCTGGGAGTATCGCCGAAGTGAGGAGAGTGACGCATTTAATTTACCTCAGTGCAGCTAAGTGGGATAAATTAATAACTTTTCGAATTTTCAATATTATGAATTAACTTAATTTAAATATTTGAAGTCATGGCTACTGATTCAGATAAACCTATTATTATATATAAGGAGGTAAGCTTAAAACGTAGTTATATAAAAGGCCAGATTACAAAATTTAAAAATTATTTGACAACATTAATTCAATTCAACCACCTAGTATTAGTTTAGTAGAATTATCTTTAAAATTAAATAAATTTGAAACTTTATCTACTAAATTTTTTATCTATGCACATACGTCACTTGAGTCACGTCATAAGCAAGAAATATTTCAATCCAACGGAATCGCGTTTGAAGCCATCGCCAACAGCATCGCAGCACAGGCTTAACGCTCAAGCACAACTAAGAAGATTTGCAAGCACCAGCCGGCAGTACCTATCAACGCTGCCGAAGAAGGGCCAAATCAGATAAGTGTCCACCTTTTCAACAAAATCTCCGTTCATCCATCATCATCATCCATCTATCTATCATCACCATTATCATACCACACTATTTTTATAGCTATAAATTAGCTTAACTATAACTTCATTGCATCATTATTGCTACAAAACTAACGCTAACGTTATATTCCAACGTCTTAAACGCACTTTTTTATCCATTATTTTAAACGAATTTCAATTTATTTCCTGATACTTCTGTAAATTTCACTGCCACAATTCGCAAACTAAACTTTAACCACTTCATAGTTTCATACGCATCCCATTTTATCATTCATTTAAGGCAAATATTTAAACCACATATTGCCGACGTTTTCAGCGTACGGGAGTGTTGGCCGTGCGGGTTAATGCCACGCTGAGAACTGGCGAGCGGTCAGTCTCTGCAGGTGTCCGAGGCAATTAGCTCATCGCTAAACAAAGGAGGAGCGTATGTAAAATACTTTATTACCCCTCGGGTGAAGTGTGTGTCGCGTTTGAATAGATCAGCTGTGCCGGTCATTGATTCTTATCAGTACTCACATTTGTTTCTTTTGTTTAGAAACCCGTACGACACCGGGCCGGCTGCTAGTCTTTAAATAAATTGAGTAATCAATTGAAATTTTCCAGTGGGCTGCCTCTGTTTGAACCTCGGCCTCATACTCGCCTGGCCCTCGTCCACAATAAGCTTGTTCTCTTCTGTCAACACCACTCTGGACAGACCCATGACCGAAATGGATATATCACTTCTTGGAAGTTTATTAAGCATCGCAGCTGTCATAGGAACTCCTCTCACTGGCGTCTTGTTGAATCTATTGAGAAGGAAATATTGCTGTATTTTATTTTCTCTGGCTTCAGTGGTACGTATAGCTTGCATCTAAATAAAGTTATATAAAAACTTTCAATTAGTAAAGATGAGAATATATTACAGCTTGTGGCGATAAAATCAAAAATAAACTGGAATTAGCGTTATGTCTAAGAGGGCTGTGCTACAATTTTGATATTGGAAGTTTCTTAAAACTTTTGATCAATATCCATGATTCGTTGAGATAATAATTTATTAAAATATTTTCACATTATAATATCTTACAAATAAATAAATACCTTCTGCACATTCTCGTCACCTCGTTGTCGTGCCAGCGAGAACGCGGGAAATCTAATGTAAAGAAAGGATTGGCTTTAGTGTTTCATATGACATGAGTAATGAAATGATGATAACGATGCATTTATTTTTACAAAAGCATGCAATTTTTCAATAATATTTTTCTACATCATTTTTTTTAGTTAGTTTAGTTTAAGTCGAATACGAATTGTTTCAGATCTTCTAATATATCTCACTCACCGATGAGCTGCAGCCCTTGAAAGCAAAGGTTGGTCTGTGGCAGTACTTAGCGCACTTCTATTGAAGCTTTAGTCACACGGTTATGCAGTTGGGTAGCCAGTTTCCTTATTTAGGCGGAGCGTAAAGGTCGTTGTTGGCCCTTCAAACTCGGACGCCAGGCCCAATAAACTGCATACCTGATCAACAAATGGAGTTTTGTGTCATCTCTGGTCTGGTGTTACACTACACGGTGTACATCCACTTGACTTCTATAACGGGTGGTCATTCGAATCATAAACCATCCCGACCTTTGACCTCTAGATCTAAGAAATTGAGTTCACTCGAGGTTTTATATCGTTGTTATAATGAAGAAAGTTCAATGGAATTATTTGAAATAATGCCATCTCCACGCTTTTTCTAACCATTCTCACTCCTCGTTGTAAGGTTGAATTCCATTCACATCTTCTGTACGCTTTTAATACCAGAGCAGTAATGCGTCACGGGCACGGGCATGTTGTCGTATACACGTTCGCCACCTTGTATGTGTGTTTGATTGATTGGAATATTTTTAACCAATTTTGTAGTTTAAATTTTAAAGATCTGAAATTTTGGATTCACTTTCAACCTAACATGACAACGCGTTAGGTGTGAGTCATCATCATAAATACGAGATATTTTCATATTAAAGGAATAAGCCATGACAAAAATATTATTTATTTAATCATAAACGCAGCCTTGACCTCATTTAACAGACAGTCAATAATTGTACAGAAGAAAAAATAAAATGTAATTTAAATTATATAATTTGAGTTTATATAATATGTACTCAACTTTAATTTTTTTACAGCACGACAGGATAGCTAAGCAAGAAATATTGCAACCCAACGGAATCTCGTTTGAAGCCATCGCCGATTCGCAACAGCATCGCAGCACAGGCTTAAGGCTCAAGCACAACTAAACAGATTTGCAAGCACCAGCCGGCAGTACCTATCAACGCTGCCGAAGCAGTTCCAAATCAGATAAGTGTCTACCTTTTCAACAAAATTTCCGGTCATCCATCTATCAATCATCCATTCATTATCATCATCATCCATCCATCACCATAATCATACCACACTATTTTTATAGCTATCCACCAAGTGTACAAGCTCATATCCCGTAAAATTAAAGTTAAAATTTAAATTTGTGAAGTCATCGTAACATAAATTAACTTAACTATAGAAAGCAGGCATTCCCAATGTCAACGCGATCCACACGGCATAGGTTTTCAACTATCATTAATACAAGTTGGGAAATTTGACGGAACCTATTTCCGCTGGCTTGGGTTTCGTGATACTTTTAGATCTCCTATTCATTGCAATGAAAAAATCCTACCTATTTATAAGTTTTATTATTTAAACTCATATTTAGAGGGTGAAGCCGCTCGTGTTAGGTAATTCTGACTTGGAAGTTTCTGAAATAAACTACAACAAGGCGTGGAATCTGCTGTGCGAGCGGTACGACAATAAGAGACAGTTAATAAATAAACACCTCAATGCTTTGTTCAATATTGAACCGCTAAGTTGGGAATCAGAACAGTCATTACGATCTTTGATTGATCACATCAGTAAAAATTTACGTTTGTCAGTAAGTTTAGGCTAACGCACAGATCATTGGAATACGTTAATCATTCATTTCGTTAGTTCAAAGTTAGATAACCACACAAGTATGAATTGGGAGGAGCATCGCAATATTCTAAGCGATATGCCAACCTTAGATCAATTCCATAGGTTTCTCAAGGACCGTACTGATGTACTAGAATTATTTAAACATAACAAGCACATTTCTACTAGTATGTCATCGTCTAGCAATAGTAATAATTTTAAGATTACGAGACATCAAAAACCGTTTTCGTGCACTTCTAATTTAGGTATCAATCATACAAATAAAAATCGTATTCGTTGCTTGTATTGCAAGAGTACCTATTTGATTTATAATTGCCCTTCATTTTTAGCGAAAACACCTGAGTTGAGAATTGTCGGAGTTTTCAAACTTAAGCTGTGTACAAATTGTCTCCGTTCCGGTCATACTCGTAATACACGTCAGTGCACCTCAGGGTCATGTCGCGAATGCAAGGGACGTCACAACACGTTGTTACACAAAACTAGTAACGATTCTTTGTCATCACATTTAAATAAAAATTCGTCTTTTCAGACTGCAGAAGACGAACTGTCAAGTTTTCTAGACAACCTTTTACGCATGTCACGCTGTCAACAGTCATGATTGAAGTCATGAATCCAGTCAATTCGAAAACTGAAACTATACGTGCTCTGTTAGACAGTGGCAGTCCATCTAGATTCTTAACTCAATCTTTAAAAAATAGATTAGGATTGGAATCCATACCCATGAATCTTAATATTGTAGGTTTAGGGAACGTAGCTAATAGTAATCATATCAACGAGCGGTGTCAAATAAAATTTAATTCACTACAAAGTGACTATAGTGTTTTTCTCACGTGTTTTATCATGCCTGAGCTAACGGGTAATCTTCCTAAGTCTTTCATAGACTACAGACAATTGAATTTGCCTCCACATATTAAACTAGCTGATCCCAATTTCTATACTCCTGCGTCTATTGATTCATTAGTAGGTGCCGTTTTATTTTGGGAGATTATAGGGAGAGAACAAAAATTATTAGGCGTAAATAAAACATTTTTGCAGTTCACAGTTCGGATGGATAGTTTCCGGTCCTATTTTATTGAACTGTGATTCAAATTCAATTAATTGCAATTTTGTTGCTGCGGCTAAGGAACTATCTCATTTCCTAGAAACTAATCCCGTTATAACTGATTTTGCCGCTGACGAACAAATAAAATTTCACTTTGGCGGCTATAATTTCACTTTTTTATGTATGTACATACGTCACTTCCTTTTTATTTCAAATTTGTATATCATTCCGCTACGATTTCTTGTCTTAGTAACATCTGTATCTTCGGATAAAAGTATTTAGAAAACCAAATAAGTTTTCTTTAACCTGTCTATATACCGAACAATTATTAAATGGTCAAAGTTTTGCGAGCCATGAGAAAACGTCTCTATAACATATTAACAGACAGGGAGGCATTATTATTATTATTATTATTGAAACAGACAGAATTATACAAATATCTAAGTGAAAAGAAATATAAAAGTACTCATTATTATTATTAAAATTAATAACAACATTGTTAAACTCTTTCTTGATTCTCGCATTAAAAGATTCTAATTCTTCTTAGGAGACTTAATCTAAACATTGATTTATTGGAACAACCTAAAATTTGTGTCTGAGTTCATAGACTAACCTTAAGTTAATAATTACTTCACACCATTGTTAAGTTGTTCTTCACCTAGTACGTATTAAAAAGAAACATTGTTGTATGAGAGTGGGAAGTCTAAAAGAATCTTACAGTCACTTTCATTGTATTTTAATAGATATAACTTTACTTTTACAGTCGTCAGAGTATGGATTTACATTTTTTATGGAACTTATAATATTGTTCGTTATATATAAAATACTACGTGTATTTTAAATATATTTTTATGTTGTTTCCTTGTCACTGAAATTAGAGTTTATATTAATATAATAGTATGAGTAACTGTATCCTATGAGGCAGTTTAATTATACTTGTACGAGGTGACGTCTCGCTTGTAATGTTACTAAAGTTAAAGGGACTTAATAAAACTCTTGAGATTAATATAAATTGTTTTTGTATAAAGAATGTAACAAATAAACATACATCTCTTACGAGACTTGTACTTTATTTGATGTCTTTTATATGACAAAACACAATTTCTTAACATTTGTATTCTGAAAGTTCAGTGTAACCATTCTTAAATATTCTATGACGTTCTTATTCGTGAATAAATTTTAAAATGTTTTATAAGACACTTTATTTAGTAATTTCTCAATTATTTATATATATCAAATATATAACTTGGAAACTTTTTATTGATTGTATGACATGTTATTAATTTTAATAAAACTTTATTTATGCTTCCGATTCAATATTTTTCTGAATAAAAAACATTTTTCTATTGAAAAGCCTCCAGAGCCTCATGTCCAAGTGTTTGCAGAATATATTCCAACTTCGTTTTATATTCATCAATACTGGAAGAGATCTCTTTTAGAGATAAGTCCGCCTTTTTGTATGTTTTTTTCTATTATGTTATTTTCTGTCTTGTTTTAGTGCAATAAAGGATATTATATACAACCTCCCTACTAGTAACTGACGTTGTTAGTATACCACTTAATGGAAAAACAATTGTTTTGAACTCTTGATGATTCTGTATAATAATATAAAGCCTATAAATGTATCTCTTTCATATGAATCATTTAATATTTAAAGTATCGTATTTACATTACTTTTGAAAATATGTTAATGAGAATTTAGTTATAATGATGTGTTACTATGATATGAAGTAAATGTATTTATAAGCAATCAAATATTTTATGATCTCCCAATGGCAGTATCGCCAGTTTTCACAGTCGTAATTCTAATATTAACCGATAAATGAATCTAAACTTCTCCTCATTCCATG